ACCCCCCCCCCCCCCCCCCCCCCCCCAACCCCACTCCCTACCCGCCTAAATTCCCCTGTCTAAGAGGAAAAATGTCTATAACGGAATTTTTTTCTGGCTGCTTTGCAATTCCATCTTTCAGAGGTTCAACTGTATTTGTAAAATGGACTCAGATTGCCAATGTTGCTCTGTTATTGAAAAATCAATATATTTCAGAGCAAGATCTAAATTGTAAAAATAATTTTTTTCCTCCCCCAAATCACTATTTTTTAAAGTAAAATTACATCAAAAAATACCACTCGAGACATCATGTGTGGTTTTATTCCAAAGGCAATTCTGAATAATTCCATGTAAGATATGTACCTATACGTTTGTTTTGTACTGTTTGTGAATGCGTCTTGTCGTTTTTAGAGATTTTGTTATGATCCAAATGTACAAATTACGTGGAATGCATTAAGAAACTGCAAATTTGTAAATATTTTCCAGTTCTATATTCATTTGTGGTTATTTTGATGTATCATTTATTTGACTAGATGCAAACATATTTTTTAAAATTTTCTCCAAAGATGATTAATTTTTTTATTTTCAAATTTCTTCCGCATCCAAGTAAAATTGTGTCGCATAATCGCTTCTTACAGGAGCCAAAGTTGAAAAATACACAATAAACAATACAGATGTATTCTGCAAACCATACTGAAAATTTTGGTACATAATATGTTGATATTTATATATGAATTTGTGGCCCCAAAGACCTGTGAAATGCGCAGTAGTCATCAACTCATTTCGCCCCCCCCCCGAAAAAAATGTGTCCATTAACCCAAAATAATATGTAGCGAATGAATTAGACATAATTTGATGTTTTGCAAGGTTTGATATTTCTAATTTTCCTCTTGCTCATCGCCCCTCAAACATCATATACAGAGCTGGTAGTAACGGAGTACAAGTACTCCGGTACTTGTACTTACGTTACAATTTTCGGTACTTTTACTGTACTCCGGTACATTTTTTAAACCAGTACTTTTACTGTACTCCGATACTTTTTATAAAAGTACTTTTGAGTATTTTTTAAGTACATTTTGAGTACTTTGGTAGCTTAATGAAAGGGTAAGTGCAGGCATTTCTGATCATAATTTACGGAACAAAAACCCGATCAACCGCCAAGAGTTAAAAGTTGAGATCAAAGAACGGCCCGTCGCCTCAAAGATCTGCCACTATCTTGAATGTGATCACAAGCGTTGTAAAACTCCTTGAAACGGTACAGTGTTTGCTCCAGACGGGATCACACCAAGGTGTGAACTGACCGATGCGTTTCTTTTCCCCAAACATCGCACTCGCATCTGACCTCACCACCTAAACTTACATCACTCCCTGGGTGGGTAGGGCCTACAAGTTCCCTCCAGGCGGGATCACATCAAACTGTGAACTCTTCCCTGACCATTGAAAGCAGTTTTTCTCTATTTCCGAATTTGCGAGACAACCTGAATTTTAATTGGTGTGGTCACAACGTAATGGTGCGTAACGACAAAGGAGGTTGGGGGGGGGGGGGACTCAATCAGAGATGGAAAGCTAAAATTGTTGGACAGGTAAAGGGGAGGGGCAACTGGATAAACGTAGATAAAGATCTCAAGACTCACGATAATGAGTGTGTATTTAATAATATTATTTATGGCATGCCTCATGCCACTGTGATTGGTCATCAAGGTTGACCACTCTTTGCTTGCCATATGTCATAAATCCACCCAGGGGTCACGTCAGTTCATGGGTCACTGTAGATTCTTCCTTGGCTAAGATCCCATATTTTCCTTGCTTCCGAGCACTGGGATCTTAGGTGGAGACCTACTGCAGTAGAGAAACTTTGGTTACACTACACTTACTAGACTGTAGGAAACTATTGTATTTTGGTTTGCCGTTGGCGCCGTGGACTACACAGTGTGACCAAAATCTGTCAGACCACTATAATCAATTGAAGCTGAAACTGTGTTCCCAATGTGTATCTAACAATTTTTAGGCTTCCTAAATTTCTTTTAAACTTTTATTTGGCGGTTTTTGCTTAAGGCTACATTGATTCCTTGAGGATTTGTTAATGAAGAATTCAATGCACTTTTCCATTTCTATGCGGGCCATTTTCATCAATTTTATGTTTTCTTAAGAGCAACTTTGTATCTACATTTTTCAATTTGGATACTCTTTCTGTAGAACTATCCGACCTCTAGGACTGACTTACATAATTTGATCACATTGTCTTGCTCAAACAAGTTCTATTCGTAATATCACTTACCCACTAGTTGCGTCTGTTCGTTTGGGTTGTTTTTTGTTCAACTTCAAGGACCATTTCCACCGTTCAGTGCATACATTGTATATTCAAATCCTTTGTATACTGTTTACATTTTTAGTAATAAATAGCCTAATTTGTCAAATATACTGGATAAGTTATAAAATATGATGTTTTGCATAAGCGCTGAAGTGTTTTAGCATATTAGCAGAAAGTACTCAAAATGTACTCATAAGTACTTTTTTTAAAAAGTACTTGTACTCAAGTACATTTTATAGGAAAGTACTTTTACTGTACTTAAGTACATTTTTTAGATTGTACTTAAATTTGTACTTAAGTACTTTTTAAAAAGTACTTTAACAGCTCTGATCATATATCTGCACGTGCAGTGAAAAGTATTCCTTCTTGACTAGAAATAATAGTAAATATATAGAGTTAAAGCGCTCGGTGGAGCCAAAACCAGTTAGTTACTTTATCACTGGGGCCAAAACCAATTTTCAAGAAAATTTCAAACCTGATTACAAAACATCAAACTATGGGGGAAAATAAATGGGTCCCCCCCCCCGATTTTTTAAAACCTTCAGGGGCGCGGAATATACTACGCCATGAGGCTTAGTTTGATATAGTTTGAACAAATAGAAACCACCAATTAATTTAAATTATTAAAAAAATATTCATTTGTGACGAATATAAAGTCAATATTCATGTAAAACGGATAAAAAGAACGAGAAAAAGAAATTAACAAATCTGAGCCTGAGACAGTCAGTAGTGAAAGTAAAAGAATACCCTCAAATATACCCTAGGTCTATTTTCTATAAATAATTGTTTGTGAATTTGTCTTGAAAGAAGAGGTGTGTGCGAGTCCACAATTTTGGACTGGATTCGAGAGTCATGAAATACTGGAGTAGTACTCGAGTACTTTGGTACTCAAATCCTGAACACAGGCGAATATTATTTATATTTGCTGATGCTTTATTACCACTCCCACTATCCTACTATCTTTCCCCGATTAGGCCCTTGTACTATTTATTACGAGGATATATTTACAAAAATATTATATCATGTACATGCACATGATGTTGCAAGAGTATAATTTGAGTTCACAAAAGATGCAGAGATAGAGAAACACACAGTCAGTGCAAGTGAGGAGAGTAAATTATAACTGAAAGAACAATATGTGAGGCATCGTGGTGAAATCAGGCGCTCGTCAAAATAATGGTATTGAAGAAACTGGCATTTTTCTGCCAGTCGCAATTTTTATCAAATTTCGTTTTTTTGGCTTAACACCACTGTTGTCCAATTAAGAACACAATTTGGTGTGGATTTTACTGACAAACGTTGATTAAAGGTACAAATAATGTAAGTTTTCAGTTTCCACGGACTATCAAGCTGTGGAAATAGCCAAACTTTGGCGGCTATTTTCTCGCTAATTCTACCTTTGAAACCAGGCGACCCCCACCTTCTTCCGCCTCGACTTCTATTCAAGAGAGAGGGGCATTTTTTTCACCAGTAGCAAGACAACTGAACCAGCTTTAAGAAGATGCCAATAACTCCACATGCCTCAAAATTGACGAGTGCCTGATTCCACCATGTCGTGACTCACATATAATAAAGAAAGGGAAGGATTCACCTCTGTGTGAAATTTAAAAAATGATAAATAATGGCAGATGAGAAAAGAAGAATATGGATATGAATCTCAAATCTGTTTAAAATAAAACAAAAGCATTGTCTGTCTATGTCATCCCAAATTCTGTATTTATGTGTGTGTGTTTGTGAGGGAGGGGGGCTGATATTTTTTTGTTTTTTTTGTTTAAAAGTATTTTTTTCCCTTTGAGCACGGATATCTCAGACACATTTGGGATTGCCAAATATGTTCAACTCTCTCTGGTGTTAATTTATGTGAGGCACCACGGTGAAATCAGGCACTCGTCAAAATAATTAAATTGAAGATACCAGCATTTTTCTGCAGGTGTGGCAATTTTTACCAAATTGTGGGGGGCTCAACTCATTTTATTTTTATGTCCATTAAAAACACCTTTCTGTTTGGATTTTTACTGAAAAACAAAGATATAAGACCCCAAAAATGTAAATTTTCTTTCGTTTTCCAATTTTCCAAGGACTCTCAATCAATAGAAGTCACCAAACTTTGGTGGCCATTTTCATGATAATTTTACCTCTGAAACCTGGTGACCTCCACCTCCTTAAATCGCAAATAGTCTGACTTCTCTTCGAGATAGAAGGGAATATTTTCAGAGAGAGATAGACAAATGAACAAGCTTTAAGAATACACCAAGAACTCCACATGTCCTAAAATTGATGAGCACCTGATTCCACTATGTTGTGACACATATATTTCTTAAAGGAGACAGTTTCACATTTTAGGGGAAAAATGCGCTTCCACTTTAAGATTTCACAAAATGAAAAATGACATTACATGTTTTAAAAAGTCCTCAGATAGTCATATTATAATTATCCTTCGATTAAACATATCATATCTATGCGTATATATTTGAGTCAGTGTGCTTATGTTCATGGTAGTTTTCTCTTAAGTATTGGAGGGCGTACTTTTTACACTGTTTAAAGGGCTAGAGGGTATCACTGGTAGATCCTTTTTCTTTTCTGTCCCAGAGTCACTTCTGTTTGTATGTCTTTCTTTTTCCTTGCACTTTATGAAAATTTCTGTGTCGATGTTATTCTTTTTTCTCAAATTTCAATTCTGTGTGTACATTTTTCTCATGCACAGTAATATATTCCTACACAGGTTGTCATTCGCCGACTACCACCCTCCTTGACACCCGAGGACTTCCTGAACCATGTGTCGCCTCTACCAGACTATGACTTCTTTTACTTTGTCAGAGCGGACATGAGGTACCGTAAAAGTAAAAGGGTACTGTCAGGATGACTCTTGGCTTCATTTTTTTAATTTTGGGGTGCAAAAGTATCTGAGAGAAAATGTAATACAGGGTGTTCATTGGGGGATCAGGTCGGGTCGGTTTGCTGGCCAGATTGAGGGCGCAAAACGGCTATCGTGCCACAAGACGATTACGCCCAACTCGTCGCCCCAAGATGATGACGCCCAACTCGTTGCCCCAAAAACAAACAGGTTTGTTTTCAGGTGACGAGTCGGACGATTAACCCGACCCGACTCGACCCAACCCAATCCCATCCCAACTGCAATGGGCGCTCAGTATAAGAAACAGACACTCACCTTATTTGCAATCACAGCATTTTTTATTTGGCTGTTATGTCCGACAGGTCAACGTGAATTCCTTCCCTTTTAATACATATTTTTACATATATATATTTGTTAAAAAAAGTGTATTCACCTTTTGATGTCTCAATTAGTGGGCTACAAATATATAAAATGAATAATAATGAATGAGATGATAAGCACATTCTAATTTACAAAAATTCAACGGCTAATTGATTTGGAAGAATTAAAGCATCTCTAATGTTTATGATTCTTTATTTTTTTATGTGTAGTGTGCAGACCTATCTTATAAAATGTTAAGATACTGTGGAGTGATAGATTTCATGCTTCTTAAGAGAATTGTGCATGCACAAAATTCTCCCATAATATGTATTGTGTTTCTTAGACAAGAGAATTTTGTTTGTTGATGCCTGTTTGTAAATTCATCTGTTTGTCTTTTTTTTTCTTATATTCATAGCCTTGGTAGTAATGCGTTCACAAGGGCGTACATTAATTTCCTGACACCTGACGATATTTTCATCTTCCGAGACAAGTTTGATGGATACGTTTTTCTTGACTCGAAAGGTAATGAAATTGTTCATCATACCTTACATATATTTTTATCAAATTCTTTTTTTTTCACAATCCTGCTTTTTTAAAATAGAGTTAGCATTCATTATATTTAAGAAAAAGATCAGGTGCCCTGTTATTTTAGTTTTTGATATCTTGCTGGAGTATGGAGCCGATAGCCCTGGTTTGAATCTTAAACAAGGCATTCTGAACATAGGCTGTGCGGGAGAGAATTTAAGCCCTCGACCCATTTAGTTTGGTTATATTAGTGATAGACTTCAAATTCGTAGGCGCCTCTTCTTAAATGATCTACAGTGTTCAAAGGGACACTCAACCTGTTCAATTTGGCATTTTAGTAGAAAAAGATGAGGCTGATGATATCATTCTGAGATAAGGTTTCCTTGGCTTTGGTGCGCGTTTATTCAATCATTTTTAAAATCTTTTTACAAATGTCAAAAAGTGTTGAGATTTCAATATCAAGTAAATGGAAATAAGACCGTCTGCAGACCCCTCTATACTTGAACTTGCTAGAAGCAGTTTGAGGCTTTTGGTTGTGGTAGGTCCTTTAAAAGCTAGTCTTCTGTGCATTATAGAATCTGTGCACCTGAGCTCTCTTGGGCTGACTGCTAGATTTGTAGTACTGAACAATCAGGCCTGCGTTTGGTGCTATGGTCCATAGAGTTTTGTGTGGCATGTTAACTGGTTTGGTGTTACGCATTCATGCCTGTATGTATTATTATTTGTGACGAGTCTTGACTGTTTTGTCCACTAGGTACATATTTCATAACTTTAGTTTTTGGTACAGATACAAAGAAGACATAATTCCCCTTCATATGACACCAATATCAGACCGAAGGGCTAGAACCCAAATGGCCGCTGGATCGGAAAAGTAAAGTAAAGTAAAGTATGACACCAATATCAAATGAATACGATAATATTTAACGAAATGACATACAATTCAATTTTGGAATGCTTCACTGCTGTCCAAGGCAAAATACTGAGATATTCGCTATAAAAGATTTGACAAATACCTGCATGACAGAAGAAAGACTTTCACTAAAATAGCTTTAAAAACACTTAACAGCAAATTTTAAAGATTTTCAATTGATTTTTCTGACAGAATAGTCATTCAAAAGTCTAATAAAACTTTTTAAAAATCTTGCTTATTTTTAGACCCAGCAAGTGTTTTTGCCAGTTTCTGCTATTCAGTTTGATATACCTAGATCTAGTGGACCGAACCGTCGGTACGCTTCACATTTGTTTTTGTTTTTGTTTAACGAAATTGCGTACAGGTGGCGAGTTCCCTGCTGTGGTGGAGTTTGCTCCCTTTCAGAAAGTTCCCAAAAAGAAACAGAAGAAAGTGGATCTGAAGAATGGCATAATTGAGCAAGGTAAGAGTACCTGCTTTTTGGGACTGAAGTCAACATGTGTGTGTGTGGGGGTGCGTGGGTGTGTGCATGCATGGGTGCATGCATGTGAAGAAAGACATCAAAAGTCAAGAGGTTAATGGGGGGTTGTTTTTTTTAGATTTGGAGAGTTTTTTAGATTTTAAAAATTCAATGCTGAACACAGTGGATTTTGAATTTTGTACCTTTTAGATATCTCATCTTGTTTATGAAATATTGCACTTTTGGTGCCCTAGAGTACAAAGACAGGATTTTGAGAAACCAGGCTTTAAGCACAGTACTACATAAAGAAACCAAAATAGCAGATAGAGTATGGATGCATAATGAATGCAAATTGTTTGCAGACATATATGTTTAGGCATACTGCTGTTTATAGTGTTGGGGAAGTTCCTGTGAATATTTTGATATAACATGATGAGGTTCAGCTTCTCTTGGAAGTACATGGCTGGGGAAGAGGGTGAGTAAAAATTCTTGGAAGTACTCTCATTTTTCTTCCAACAGCAATGATATGGATCTTACCATTTATGAGATGTGTTTGATGTTTAAGAATATGCAAAGTAACATAAGTGATAACATATTGAGAGAATCTTATAACTGTGTGATCTCTGTAGATGGTGACTACAAAAAATTTGTGGAGAGTTTGGCTCAGCCCGTGGAGAACGCCGCAGTGTCATTGGATGCTATGGTGGTGGAGGTGGAGACTCGGGAAGCTATGGCAGGTACTTAATCTTGAATCTATTGTCCTTAGTGAGCTCATTTGTGACTGCAGTTTCCGCACAGTAAGACCCTCAATGCCTAGAGTTACTGTGAGAGATGAAAGAATCAATGGTAGGTTCACATATCCAGCCATTTCTTTTCAAAATTGGTACTTCTTCAAAAGGGCTTGGCATATGAAGAAGAGCTGGGCTCTGCCATATATTTACTATTGTATATGCAGAACTAGCAGCTGTTTTTAAGTACTGTTTCACATGGCATATCTCAGCGCAGCCTGTCATTTTGGCTTAGTTCTGTCTGTTGATGTAGCCTTTCCTCAGACAAATAATGTTATTTTTCCAGACATCTGTTTTATGAGTGGCAAAATGTCCTCATGAAATAAAATGTTGGTATTTTGAAACATTTCTCTTGCCTATTTGTGAAATATAGTGATGACTATTTCTCTTTTTGAAAGTGTTTGTGCAGTGCAAAAGTGATGTCAGCTTAGTATCTGAGTTGTTTATCTTGTGGGTTTTTTATTTTTTTATTTGTAGTTTTCATTGACTTTGATTTTGCAGCTCACTTTACTGTAATGCCTTGTTCAGCTAGAACATATATCAGTCATTTCAGATCTTTAAACAGATTTGAGAATATACATCTATTATAATTATTATGAGTAAGTCAAATCTAACATCATTCATTCCACAGGCAAAAATGGAGGAGCAAAACATACCACACCATTGCTGGATTTCTTGAAGAAACGAAGAGAAGAAAGAAAGTACAACATAGCTGTAAGTGTTGGATGAGACTTGCCAACGTAGGCGGTAGGGCCCTCTTGTGGGCAATTTGGTAATTTTGGTGGATGATGGGGATCACCTCCCTAGTGACAGCTCGCCTAGTGACAGGTGTTATTCGATGTCCCACTTTGGAAATACGTATAGGTTGGAGGTATGGAGATTTTAGTCTCTTAAAGTTGGTAAAAGTGGATGCTGGCTATACAAAGGTTAACAGGCTATGTTGTTGGACTATGCTCTACTTACTGAGTCGTGGAGGTTTATCCGTGCAGTGTGAACAGGTTGTTGTTATTTTCACCTTCTATTTAATAAATATGAATATGAGTGAAGAATAGAATCACCTGAATAAACATACAGACAAACCTGCTCTAACAACCACCTGTTCAAAACATTCATCCGCACAAACAACCACTTCTCACCTCCTCCCTTGTGTTTTTTCTATATTGTTATGACACTGCTGAAGAAGACCACCTGTCTGAGAAGACCACTTTTCTCCTTTACGGGCGATGTACATAATACAAGGAATTTTCAAGGGGTTTGACGTTCTTTCAGTTTTTTCAAGTGATATAAGTTAATTATTGTCTAATTAGAAGAATTATGACAGAATCTTTTTAGTTTTATGAAAAAGTTGGCCTCTGCTAATTTTGGCCATATTGTGGTGGCTGACCTGTTCCACAGAAAAAAAATGGAATTTAAGCCTCAAACTTTTCACGGAAATACACAAATACATTATCTGTGATCAAAAGCGAGGATTTTTTTCTAACATGAAAAATAAGAAAAATATCCATATATCACCGGGCGACTTCCAAAAAATAAGAGTACAATGACAAAAAATCAGAAATATTCCAAAAGTAGTCCATATTTTGAAATATCCTGGCCCATAATCACAAAACAGACTATACTGCTCTTGGATTTTATGAGAGCCATTGGCCTTTATGGGAAATTGTAGAACAAAATTGAATTCTTAAAAATTTTTATGAAGGTTATTTTAGATTGAAAATATATATTTACCCCAAATTTTAAATATTTTAATGTTTTAAGCCAAACAGTGAACTGCGAATATAACTAGCTTGTGTTTCGCGCGCTCATATGACCTTATGCAGTTGCGGGCGCCTTAAAACCCCATACTAAAAAAAGAAAGTGTTGAAGCTATCTCTATTCTTTTGAAAGAAATACTTGTTCTTTATGGGATCTCTCTCTCTCTCTCTCTCTCTCTCTCTCTCTCTCTCTCTCTCTTTCTTTCTCTCTCTCTCTCTCTCTCTCCTTCCCCCCCCCCTCACAAAATAATGACACCATGGTAATTGTAAGGACAAACATTGGAAGTAAGCGTGAAATGAAATATGACTATGAGAGTAAAAGCTACCTCTTAGATCATCCAATACATGCAGGGAAACTTAGCTTAGATGAACCTGCTCTGTAGCCTACTTTAAAAAAAGAGGGATCAGAAACAGGATTATATCTTGTCAAATACAAAAGCAAATTAGACAGTTTCATCAGTGGCAGTAATCCAAACGGCTCTCTAAGTGAAAGAAGAAACGATGGTAATCGTAAAGTACTGTTGGAGACCAAATACCGCACAGCACTGTACGACTGAATGTTGACGTCATATATTATTTTTAGCAACAGGGTTTCGTTTTGTCCAAGACAACCCAAAATTTACAAAAAGAGGAGCCCTGTATCTTGCGTATATATGTGCTCAAGTGCCAGAAATACATAAATCTTGATCGTCTTGACCATTTATTGTCTTGAAAGAAGAAAAGCTTGGGAGAACAAGGATACTTAACATGTTAGTGTGACACAGAGACACATGGTTGTTGTCACGTTCCAATCATGGGCTAATTTGAAGAAAACGCGCCAATTTTTGGGAAGGGTGCCCTCCGGAAAACGCCTGTAACTGTGAACTCTTATCTTTTTTTAGAGAATGGCTCATCAAGCGATATCTATTCTTTAGATATTCAGGTACCCAAAGATGGTCAAAGTTAATCGAATATTTGACCCAAACATCCTTGTTTTGCAGACCCGGGTGGTTGTCTTGGACAGGATAGGCTGTATTAGCTCAACTGCCCTTAGCCCACAACAGACTCCAAACATCTTGAGTACTATTTAGGAAGAGATAATGCTGATAATAGCTGAAACAAATTTTACACAATTCCAAATGTGGAACATTTAGTAAAAGTCTACTTGAGCCCCCCATTTAGAAATTACTTGGAACTATTCCGCACCTTCAGGATCATGGCTGTCGGCAGGACCACATGTTGGTCACGATGACATCATGTGCGGAAGACATTTTTACTTATTTATCTAATGAATAAGGGGGAGGGCACAAGCAGACTTTTACTGAGCACTGAAGTTTGGAATGTTCATTTGTGTGAATGTATGTGCACTCATGCATACTGTGTTGATGTTAGTTATTCAGGTCAGCCGTCAATATCAACGAGCAGTAAAATTCTACTTTTGTTTGATGTTTTTCTGTTGAGTAATTATCTTTTACTAAATTTTTCATGTTACATAGGTGCCATTTTTATTTTATGGAAATTTGTAGAATAAAAGAAATATGATTCTTTAATGTTTTTGCCCATTTTATTTCTTGAGAGAGAAAAAAGTGTTCCTCCATGAACCTTTTTTCTTCTCAAGTAATTTTACTGTCATAGTTCTGTGTCCTACTTAGCTCCTTAGGAGATAAAGTGTTTTGATGTTGTACTTCTGCAGAAACTTAAAGAAGAGCGTCGTCGCGGAAGTGCCCGTGACCGGGAGGCGGACAGGAAGAGGTCATCCAAAGATGAGTCTGAGAAGAGGAGGGCGGAGAAGGAGAGGCTGCGTGATCGGGATCGCGATAGGGACCGTGACCGTGATCGAGACCGCCGTCGGGATCGCAACAAAGACCGACTGAGGGATAGGGACAAGGATAGGAAGAGAGAGCGAGACCCTCCCAAGTCAGACAAGTACAAGGAGGACAGGAATGGAGAGAAGAAGTCCTCGAAAGAAGGGGAAGGAGCTGCTAGGCAGCCTGTAGTGGTAAGGGCTGTGTGAAAGAGACAGACAGAGAAAAAGAGAGAGACTGCTCAGTATTGGTGAAGACATGTGAAATTATTTCTGCCATAGAATAATTGTTGAAGTTAAGTGCTTTATATGACTGTTACCAAGATGCAACAGTGCGATGAAGAGGTGAAAATAAAGTCTGTTCAGTTGTAGAAGAATACGAAGGCTCTATTTGTAAGTCTCTCTCCTCCTCTGGTGTTTGTCTGTCTATCTCACCTTTACTTTCCCTAAGTGGTCGTTATTGTGACGATGTGCTTCTCTTTACCTGAAATTAAACCCGTTTTGATGTTTGTTTCATTTAGTGTAAACAATTTGACAAAAGTGTTTTTCTCTGCCTGTTTCTGTCAAAATTGTGTTATCTAAATGTGAAGGGCACTATGACAAAATGTGTTGTATCCAAAAAACAGGAAAATGTAGAAAGTTGATCTGAATCATGATCTGTATGAGAATAAACAAGAGAAATTAACTTAATTAATACAAGAATCCTTGGTTGCAGCATGTTTTGTAACTGAATATTTTTGAACGGTAGAGATGAAAGATCTTGCCATTGAATTTAATTGGAAATAAGCAGAAGTTCAATTATTGAAGAGAAGTGAAATAAGTTCCAAAGACCTGCATTTGTCTTTTGAATATTTTCCCATATTAGCTGTAATGTTCTCACACATGTCAATGTACGCAACAGCTTGAAATTTGATGTTTGTTTTTTTGTGGGTTCTTTCCAGCTATTGAAAAACACTGACAGAGAGACGCAAAAGGGAGAAAAAGAGGGAGAAGTGGAAAGTAAAACGGAAGGAGGGAAGAAAATTGCTGAAAGGGAAAAAGAGGGTAGACCAGGCCGCGTAGAGTCGGGAAGAGAGGTAAGAGAATGGAAGAATGAGGAGAATAGAGGGAAGAGGCCTGGGGATAAGTGGTCAGACGACAGGAGACGAGATGGAGAGAAGGACAGACCGAGGTCTGTGAAGGATAAAGAGAGGGGTAATGAGGAGAGAGACAGAGGAAAAGGAAGGAAGGATTGGGGTGATCATGGAGGCCGTGGGTATCGGGATGAGGAGGATAGAAAGAGGCAGGACAGAGACCGAACGAGGTTCAGGGAAGATAGAGGAGAGAGAGGTGGGAGTGACAGATATCACGAGAAAGAAAGAGGAGGAGGCAACCTTGGTAATAAAGATAAAGGGGACCGTGGAGGTTATGGGGCTAGGGAGAAATACAGGGACGAAAGAGGGGGAGGAGGAGGGAGGAACAGGGATGATCGTAAAGGTGGAGGGGATGGTTGGAAGAAGAAGGACGTGGAGACCGACAGGAGAAAGTACGAAAAAGAGCGACCTGCAGAAAAAGGGAGGCCAGAATCTGGCAGGCAGCAGCGAGGTGGCAAGGATGATGGGAGACTGGATAACAAGAAGGAAAGGGAGGCCGGCTCGTCAAGGTAAGTCACACTTTGAAGCAGCATATCTGTGCCACTTTTCCTGCGATCATCAGAATTTCCACTTCTGTTTCCAGTCAACCTGTTTTTGTCTCCCCAATTTGACAGTTTTACATCAATGCTCCAAGATAAGTTCAAAAGGTTCTTACATTTTGCCTTTGAAGCAATATAGTTTCCACTGATATTCAAGGCATACAGCGTCATTCTTTCTGTTGTTATTAATAGTGCACTTTTGTTTTGCCTTTGAAGCAATTTAGTTTCCAATGCTATTCTAAGCTTGCACTGTCATACAATGGAAGCCTTCTCGGACAAGGGCGAAAAATCTCGGAGGGCTCGTGTGCAAGTTGCGCACGTTAAAGATCCCTTGGTGGTCTAAAATCGATAAGAGTAGGCTTCGGCCGCCACCCGAGCAAAATTCAAAATTTCCTACCAACTGAAAATATTAGGTGTGTCCCGCGCGCTCATATGACCTATGCAGTTGCGAGTGCCGTAAAACACTTTACAAAAACAAAAATACAATGGAAAGGAAATTAGAACCAACTTTTTCACTTTAGAGTGTGATGGACAGATGGGTGGTTGCTTTTGCTCAGGTGCTCCTTTTGTTAAAGCAAGAAGTAATGTCCCAAGTACTTCCCCTGTTGACCACCCATCTGAACATTGTCACATCTACATTACTTGGCAAACCTGCATTGGCAAAAACTTTGGTCTCAAAGACCCTCAATAAGATGCTCAGATGTGTTCAGTATGGAAACAGTAGATGATGAAAATGACAGTCTTTGCTTATTCATTTTTCTTCTTTTTCTTTTGTAGTGGAAAGGACACAGGTGCCAAAGATGTCCCAAGAGAAGAAAAGGATAGACAGAAGGTGAGAGTTTGTTGTATTCTCTTTCGGTGTTTTTATGTTTTATTTATATATGTATTTCATTAGTGTCGTTCTTGCTTTGAATATTAAATATTGTGTCTTTAGTCTTATTTACTTTTTCTTTGTATTTCTTTTTTTCCTTGTTTCTGTTTTTATGTTGTATGTTTCTTATAGCCATAGAATATACATGTTTGTTAAAGAAACTTGTTTGTTTTTTTGGTGTTGTTTTTTTTTACCCCCAGGTGATACTTTTGTCTGGTATTCTGAAGTAAAAAAGTAGCTCATTTGTTTAAGGAAAATGGGATTTTTATGTTATATATATATGAAATAACCATAAATATAAATTACATGTAGTGCCTTTAACCCTTTGAGCCCAAGTGTAAAACTGCCCGTGTGCCTAGCCACCGGTACAGTGGTGAGCGAGACCCTATTCCCAGCCTGGCCCATCTGAGACAGAACATGCATGGAAAACAGTGTTCAATACATCGGACGTTGGTGATTACTTTGAAAATCTTTCTGAATTGGTTGCTGGTAATGGTGAGGACAATTCTGAGTGGGATATGGAATGTGATTCTGATGGTCATATGAATGTAAGTTATATATGGCTCAGGAGCTCAGGCAGTGGGGCACAGTATCCTCAGGAGCTCAGGGCTCAAAGGATTAATAATAGAATACCCGCACTTCATTTCATGCAGTGTGTTTAAGATTTTGATTTACTAGTTTAATCTAGTTGGTCTAAACGAGTGGCACAATTGGTCCAAAGATTCTTCATTCTAATCTTCAGCGTGAGAGTGTTATTGTCACTTTGTTGTGTTTTTATCTGAGAAAATCATTTTGTCTTCCTCAGTAATGTTTTTCTTTCTGGTGTTGTAGTGTTTTGTTTTACTCCGCACCTGCTTCCCTTTGACGTTCCACATAACTCTGTACTTTTCCAGTAGCCTTCCATTTAACACATTGGCCTGTACAACAGAACTCCGTAACTTCTACTTCAAGGAAAATGGGTTTTACTAGTAGCTGTTAAGGTCTTGAACACAGAAAGCGTTATCGATACACTGTAATTATCCCCAGAATTGGGTTCTTGAAATAGAAAGGGGTTTAACATTTTTAATTATTATCTGTTTCCATGCCATAATTATCAACACATAGTCATATTGTGTAAACTGTAACGAAAGTTGGCAATATAAATGGAGGCATAGCACTAAAAGAGTTAAAGATAGCCATCTTACATCAATGCATAGCACAGAAAGAGATTGAGATAGCCATCAAACATCAAATTTCTACTACTGGGTCCACAGTAAAGATCTCTCTAAATTTGTGGAAGAAGAATTTCTCTTGCCAAAGCACAACCTGTTTTTTAAGTTGCATACTGTGGATGTTGTTTACATTTTCCTCACTTCAGAGTGTGCTGTTTCTGCGAGTGTTTCTTTTCGGAATATTTGAATGCTCACTACATGTTTCTTGGTATTGTATTTCTCCGTGCTTTGATTTGAATCATTTTTCTTTCTTTCTCACGTGATCGGAATTTTTTTCTGCCACATTTTCTTTTTTCAATTTTTGACTGTCATGTTGGTTGCTGTGTACCTTTTGTTTGCATAAGGATTCGGAGAGATCGTTTAGAGGCCCCTCTAGCACTGGAGAGGGCAAAAGCAGCAGGGTCAAAGGTGAGGTGGACAGCCAATCAGAGAAAGGAGGAGGAACCCCAGACACCCCCCCTGTAGCTAGGCATGGAAAGGAGGAAGGAGGAAGAGGAGGTGGGGACACACAAGGAGGAGACAGTGGGGCAGAGGTCGAGGACAGAAAGAGGAAGAGGAAGGTAATTCAGACTGAGCTGTAGAAATAATGAGGTAGAACCGCCGGTGGTGGGTAAATGTAAGCAGCAGGTTCAAAATAAATTGTAAGTATCTGGGCTGAAGTTCAAGTGATTTAGAAAAGTGGTTGGATTTTTAGCTATTAAGAAGTTAGTTTTTGTCATATTGTGCTATTGGAATTTCTTTTTAATGTTCCGCAAGATAATGTTTCTCTCAAAATCTTATATTCATATATAGTTAAATAAGGTAAAATAATGTTGGAAAACAAGCATATTATCTGTGTAGATAGAAGTCAAATTTAGTCACTATTTTCTCTATGCTTGACTTGTCTCATGCAAAGACTGCTACTGCAGTCCTCTGGTAATGTTGTGTCTTTCATAAGTAGTTCATAACTGTGGTTTGTACTAGTTCATCTCAGTGTTTTTGATTAATCTCGAATTGGTTATAGAATTAAGATTTTGAATTTTATTTCATTTTGAGGAGGTGCAAGAAATTTGGTACGCTACAGCAAGATAAAAACTGAAATAGACTTGAATGACGGGTTACAGCTTACTCAATCTGTAGTTTCAGTTGACAGTTCATATATATTTCAAGTCTAATCCCTTTTTGATAGCCCCCCCCATCTAGCAAACTTTGTGGCACCTTAATAGTTACAAGCTATAAGAGTCTTTTATTTTTCCTTGCTATGTCAGAGACATGTATAGCTGTGTCTACAAGGTTTCCATCCCACATTAGTCTTATGCTGTAGTTTTAAGCTATAGACTTGAATTATAATATTATATCTAGATTCGGCACTGCTAATTCTGCTGCTCTTTGCTCTCAATAAAAACTTTACTGCACCGGTGCGCACCATAGGCACTCAAATGAAGGGCAAAATACCAGTCTCCTTATAGTCAATGATAGTACATAACAAGATGGGCCACTTCTCTCTTTGAGCCAATTAAAAAAGTGTCCTCAAAATTTGGTGGCGCCCTCTTCACAAAAGCGCACTCTTTGCGAACAGAGTTACCCTACTTGAGTTTTAAAAAATCAAAGTGAAACTAGCAAGTTTTGGGATAAATTTAGGAAGAACGCTTTTTTAAAATGGTTACGCTGACAAAAAAAACCTCTTCCAGAGGAAAAGGAGATGGTTTTCTTCGTTTAATTTGACTTTAGAATGAAGGGCGAGAGGACATTAAAATAAAAAAAACCCTAAAACTCCGCACTGAAAGTACCCGAGCTGCTGATGAACTGCAGTCGATCTGCGCACGCAAGGAGGTGCTATTCCTATTCTTCTTCTGGAAAAACGAAAGAGAGCTTCAAAACAGACTGCAGCGCCATCTGAAGCAAAGAGCATACTTCCTGCGGACACTTTTTAGGCTGAGTGGCCCATCTTGTTATTCACTATCTTTGCTTATAGTCAAGTGCATGCGCAACATTTTCCTCCTTGCCCTTCATTTGGTTCTGAGTAGAGTCAAATGATGAACAGTAATTGCATTAATATGAGCAGTCATGGATATTATTGTACAAGTCTGTTTTAACTTTAACTTTCAGCGCACTTAAGTCTTAGAATTCTCAGTGGTGAAATGACTAATTGACTGTCTTGTGAGTGTGTTCCTCCCGTGTGGTGGTGGCCTTTCATTAGCTGTGTTTACTCACTGTAGTTCTGCATGCCAGACAATGTGTGTGTTCTTACTTTTTGTTTTCCTCCATTGCTGTGTCTGAGGTGGGTGCACTCACTTTTTATCTCAGTGTTCTGTATTGTTGTGGTTTATGTTTTTTAAGTTCTCTTAGTGTTAATTGGAGAAAATAGGTGAGATACTGAACTGTGAAATGACTGTGATTGATTTATTGCTGATAATGATGATAAGAAGTGGTACAGATTAATGCATGTCAACCTTCTGATAGCCTGCATCCACTTTAGCCACCTTTAACTGGCTAATATTTGCATATTGCCCACCTAAATGTATTTCCAAGTGACATAAAATAACACCTGTGACGACCTGGGTGATCTCTACCACCCACCAAAATTACCAAATCACCCACCAGCTGGTGATACCGCACAGGCTGGCAAAGACTGGTATATGTAGTCAAACCTACCTTGTGGGTGGTTGGCGGGTGCTCTGGTGTGGTTTGCTTCTTCTTTCCTATCAAACATCTGTCGTCCTTATCTCCCCTTCTACTTTTTTATGTTTGTTACTCTCTTGTAAAACCTCTAATCTTCTGGTGGTCATATGACCTTATGCAGTTGCGAGCGCAGAAAAACGTCTACTAAAACTTTTTTTAAAATAGGAAAATAAACCTTAACAACCACCTGTACAAGTCAACTCAACTGTATGAATGACCACTTTTCTCCTTTCCCCTTTGCATTTTTTTTTTTTGTGTATGTTATGACACTGCCCCGGGCAGCCATCTGTCTTAATACGGTGACCTCTTCTCCTTGACGATGGGTGGATGGATGGCCATCTTGGATAGGTTTGACTAGTGCTTTTTTCTTTCAGAAAGTTCTCTGCACACACACATACACACACACACACACATACACACACACACACACATACACACACACACACACACACACACACACATACTCACACACATGCATACACATGTATACACACGCACACTCAAACACTCACAAACACAAACACTCAACAAGTAAATGCACACATGTGCATGCTAGCACAACTGCACACAGTCACACATCAGCACCTTCTTTCTCACTTATATGTGAGCTACCAGAAATTGACTGGGGCACTTGTGGACTGATGCTAAGGATTCGTTCCCAGAGACTGAGATGGCGGATTGGAATGTACTGGCAGCACGAGGGAGATGCTCTGAAGTTGGCTGAGCTGTCTGTAGTTTGGAAAAATATAAATAACCCAAGACCATAGAAAAACTTAGTTCAGAGAAACATAATTTAAAGCTATAGAGATAAAATTGTTCTGTTTTTGCTTTTGTATTTTTAAATGGTTTTTTTGTTGTTTTTGTTTTATTTTGTTAATTTACTGACATCTTCGTCTTTGTTGTTCAAAGAGGGAATTTAGTGTTCTCTGAGATTTTTTAAAATTCCATTTACAGTCAAACCTGCTCAAAGTGGCATCTGTCCAAGATAATATGACCTGCTCAAACGACCACTTCCCACTCTCTCCCTCACGTGTTTTTTTCTTTATCATAATGACAACGCCCAAGACGTCCTCCTGAATAAAACAACCACTTTCTTCCTCAACAGTGGGAGGGCAGTGGGTAAAATCATGAGGCAACCCAGGATAGGGAAAGGTGGAAAATGTTTGTTTGTGGCGTATACTCTGATCCAGAGAGAGAAAAGCGATGATGATGGATGGGTAGCCACCTTTGACAATTTCAACTGTATTTTGTTTGAGATTTTTTGTGGCAGTACTATTGTACTACTAGTGATTTTTTTTCTTCCCCTGACAGGAACGCCCAGAGAGGCAGATCTACATCCCACGCAAAGCCCTGGAGAGACAAAAGCAAGGCTCACCACAAGTGGCAGATACGCCAAAGGATAAAGCATCTGGCAATGGTAGCTGAAGGACGACCTTTGACTTACGTTATAGTGATCTCTGGAGTCTCTTTGTCTTTGCCTGGTGCAAGACACTGTCCACTTACGCTGATCGAAGTGCCAACGAAATGCAGTTGTTTGCCTGAAATGTGTTCGGCATTGCTCCTACTCTTACTGTCGAAGAAGATTTGAAATTCTGTGGATTTTTGCTTCTTTTCAGGATTTTTTTTACTCTTGTTGAAAAAAAACATTGGTCAATAATGTTTTGCTCCACTCCATGGTAAGACTTAAGTTGAACAGAAAATTGTCTTGTGCCCATTATATTCTAGGAAAGCTGTATTCTATAGGGACTTTGGACCTAGAAAAAAAACTCTTTAAGCTGAGCCTCATCCGTATTTTGAGCATGTGCCCCCAATGTTTTACTGCTCTGGCAATTTTTTTTAAAGATTGATATCTGGTCTGTCTCAGGACTATGGTAGTAGTATCTTCAGCTCGTTGGAAAAGGGATCATGGTTTGTGGAAGACGTAAAAGACATCCACCATTTACAAAATCTTAAGTAGATACTTTTCTTGGTCTGCCATTTGCTGTATGGAAGTGGAAGAAGAAATAAGACAATAGAAAAGAGTTGAAGATAGTATAAGTTTCTGCGCTGCAATGCCCAATTCGTGAGCAGGTCCAGACTGCTGAATGTAGAACTATGATTGATTTTTAGGCGGGTTGGGTTATGGTGAAACTACTTGAAAAATTGTTGTTCTACATCGTCTCTCATTGGGTTGGCTGGTGGCTGGAAGACACCACATGAGCTACCCACGGCGTCACTTTTCGCCCGATTCTATTACCTTTAGTTAGCGTGACTCAGCAGCCCACCTGAGCTCTCCGGCTTGGGGTCACGGGGTTAATGAGCCCTGAAGCGACTTTGCCGGTGTCAGTTAGGAAGTTTGCATTTTTGACTATGTTTAAAACGGTATAACTTCTTCCCCATCCCACACAGCAAACCATTACGTGGATGTACTGAAAGCTCAAAGTCTTGAGATTTATTCTGCGTTAGAATGGTTAATTTCTGTGCCTTTGTTTTTGTTCTAGACAAGTGTTTGTAGAGTACCCAATTTGTCTTATTTTAGTTTCAAGCTTATGAATAAATAATTGTTAATTTTAAAAAGGCCCGACAGATCTCTCCAAAATCTGTTTAAACTGACTACGAATATCATGTCTTTTACCATGAGAAATCTTAAATCTGTGTGAGTAGTGATAGTCAAGTTATAGGAGAAGCAAGATGCACATCTGCATTTTGTAACTAAAGACGATCAGCGTTAGCTCTTATTTTACTATTCAACAAGAGAAAGTTACTCTGCGTTTGTTCATGAATCATGCTGTGTCGGTGGCAGCGTGCATACAACTAAAAAGATATAATTTAAGTGATTTAAAAAACCCACAAAACCGTGCAAATACATGGGTAGAGATAAACTTCTTGTTTGGAATAAAAATGATGACAGCTAACACACTCATTCTTAGTTTTTGTGTCGGAAATATGTGTGGACACAATTATATGAATGTAAAGAAATCAGTCTCATTGTCAGTTATTGCAAATGGTCATAGAAACGAAAAATAAAGCTGGAAAAGTCTGGTGCTGATTCAGTGTCCTGGAAAGCTAGAAATTATTCTTGTAACCCAGTTACGAGAAGTCATCCCTTTTATTCAGTCAACTTTGAAAACCAAGACGTAGCGTTTTAAGGAAAGTAAGGAATTTCGGGAGTGTAACAGATACTGTTCGTGTATTACATTGAAGATGTATTCTGGCACTAAAATCGATTTGTGCTTTTCATAGAGAAACTTCATGGTAACTTTTATAAACTTTTGAGAAAATATGCGAATATTCACGATTATATTATACACATAAAGTTGTATTTGGAGGAATTACTTCATAGCGAATTTTGTGCCCGATGGATAAAGTTGCGAAATTACAGCTTTCTATTATATGCGCAGATACCATCTTTTCAGAGTATCTGCACCAATGCTATGTCGTTCATGTTCCGAAAATTCGACGGATTTTGTGGAGGCTTTTTTTTTATATTGATTTTTTTCATTCACGCTAGTCAAAAAAAATTACAATTTAGCATTGCCGACTCCAGTGCCGACTAACGAAATAACCAGACAAGTTACAATGTCAGTTCTTTTTTGAGTCTCAAGAGCAGAAATGCATGCTTTGGGTGCACTAAATGAGAATTACCATTTATACAAGGATAAATTGTATGTTGAAAAGTACCAAAAATTAAGTAGGCCCAGACAGAGCGGCGACAGGTAGCAGACCCCCGTGACCCTGACGTGATGAGTCGCCCGGCGGGGAACCCCCCGCGGCAACTAAAATTCCACTGCCGGTGCGCTATGTACTACTACTTTTATTTCTTTCTGTTGGTTTTGTCTGTCTTGCTTATACCTAGCATTAAATGATCAGTCATTATCAAGTGCCAGACCTGCAACAGACATCCGTGATCATTGTTCACCATATATTTTTTTGCTTGGATGCTCCCCCCCAAAAAAACCCTTCTATAATATAATTATTATCCTGTTTTTTTCCAATCACCTCTCTGTTCAGTCTTTTCAAGTGAGTTGCTCTAGGTCTACCCCTGCCTCACTTGTCTTCCAATTTACTACTGAGAGAAAGCTGTTCAAGGCCTTCGTGTGATTCAAGTGTCCCAGAAACTGCATTTGTCTCTCTTTAAAAAAGACCAGTATTGTCAAATAAAACAAGCAAACCATCGGCTTTGGCAGTGTGTGTGTCTGTGCGTGCGTGCATGTTTGTTATAGATTTATTTGTAATTTTTTTTTTTATTATTATCCTGGAAAGTAAGCCTCTGTAGGTGTCATGGCCAGCCTCTTTGCCTGGAAAAAATACAGGTTTAAGTTTAATTCCTATGTGGGCGTCTATATAATTTCCCACTCAGCCTGGACTCACCCTGACAGGCATGGTCAAATGAACCTACCTCCCAAATGATCGAATTGCATTAATGGGGGTGTAACACATTTGCTATCATTAGATTGTCGGTGTGGCCTCACCTGCCTCACCCAGACAGACACTCCTCATAATTTAAATTATGTCAATGTGCTTCTCTTTAAGTTGACAATTACTATGAAAGCTTTTTTTTTTTTTTCAGTGCTAAAAGCTTTTACATTTGTCTGGTATCTTGTCCTAAATTTTTCTGCCTCGGAATGAATTTTTGCTACCATTATTTCTAAAGCCAGGCATCTTTTATTATTTTTTTTTTTCCCCTTAGCCTTTGCAATGCCTTTGCCAAATGATTTAGTCTTGTATGTGAGAAATGCTTCATTGAGAAAGTCATTTATTAAAATCTTGGTCAGGTCAATGACTGATGCCGATGACCCAGTTGTATTGTTTTGTTATGAAAAAAATACGAGTCCAAATAAAAATTTCAGTTCACTTCAGGCCTTTTATTTGTCTATTTTGTTTTCATTTAATTAAAGAGAAGAAATGGGAAATGGGAGATGGATCATAATAATGTTATAAATATTGTTAAAGAGTATCAGGAATAGAAGAAATGAAATGGCATCATGTTTGTAATGAGACAAGGAGATGAAGACTACATATATAACAACCATGTTCCTATCACCAAGGATGTTAGCAAACTCAGGCTTAAACTCAAAACACATTTACCTCTCTCTTGAATATCAACTCACAGAACATCGTCATTTTTTTACTTCTTCACAATAACATTAATTTCATGTAAGATTAAAATTTCTTTTTATACTTTGAACTCCTTTCATCTTAATAGAATACAAATGTACATTATGTGAATGTCCATACTCTCAGTCACACTCACACAGCAATACATGACACATATATCAGAAATACTTACTTTGATCACTTTCATACATGATGTTCATGATCATAGATTTTTACTTCCAGCCAACATTTTCCCCAACATCCTCACCACCAGATCACCTTTATATCACAGATGTGTAACAGTAGCAAAAAGTTTTCTCACACGAAGCTTTTCCAGCACAGGCATTCAGGGTTTGTGTTGTATCAAAATAGAAGCATGTGTATGGATTTGGCAAATACGGTCGGACCTGCCCCAACAGCCACCTGTCACAGATGACCAATTCCCATCCCCCTTCCCCCTCCCCACCCCCTTGTGTTTTTTAAATAATGACACAGTCCAAGACACCCACCTAAGAAGAAGACAACCGCCTTTCTTGATTATGGTTGACAGTCTCGGACAATTTCCATTATAATATGTGTCACAACGCTGTGAAATCAGGCGCTCGTCATGTTTAAGGCATATGGAGATATCAGTATCATTTTTAAAGTTTGTTTATTTATCTTGCACTTGATGAAAAAGTGCCCATTTATCTTGAATATAGTCAGAATATTTGCAATAAAAGGAGGTGGGAGTCACCTGGTGTCAGAGACAAAATTAGTAAGAAAATGGCTGCCAATGTTTGATGACTTAAAAAGCTGTAGTATCCTTGGAAACTGCAAATTTACATTTTTATGCCTTTGATCAAAATTTTCCAGTAAAATTCAGACAGAAATGTTTTTAAATGGACAAAAAGGTGTTGATAAAAAAAAAAGAAAAATAGATGAAAACTGCCCAAGGAGCGGAAAAATGCCTGTTTCTTTGACTTCATTATTTTGACGAGCGCCTGATTCTACCATGATTCCTCACATATATAATAATTTTCAATCCATAATGACAGTACGAGTACAGAAACTTTCCACAGAATTTTTTTTAATGAAATAAAAAGTCTTTGTTTTGGATAGGCTTTCTCCAGGGAACTGCAAATCTTAAAGCATGAGGCCCTAATGCCTATGGCACCTTTTCAATGCAGAAATGTACTCACTGCTGGCATCAACAGGTTAATGTTTTATAAAGAAGACTAATAAAATAATGATTTAGCTACAATTGAAGGGGTTGAGTGAAAAATGGAACACTTTCATTATTTGAAAATATCAGGGTACTAGCCTTTAACTTACAAAAGTGACTGTAAAATATCCCTATAAAATTAATCAAGTGAAAAAAAAAACCCGACTAAGCAGTTCATAAAGACAATAACATGGCAAGCATTAAGCCTACTGTAAAATATCCCTATAAAATTAATCAAGTGAAAAAAAAAACCCGACTAAGCAATTCATAAACTGTATCCTCAGTCTCCATAAAAGAAAATCAGGTTAAGAACCTGCAAAGTCCATAATAAAGTTTTTAAAAAAGGTAAGTTAAGGAAGGATTAATGTGACTTAGCACATTTTTCACTCGACTCCTTCAGTTGTGAAGGCTGTCACTCATTTTCTCAGTTGATCACATCATCATTATCCTAGTTAGTTGAAGGTCTGCCACCAGGTCTGACAACTGGATTAGTTGAAGTTGTAGCTCGACGTTTCTGATTTCTAGGTTTGGGACTGTCGGTGGCCGCAATAAAAATGTTTTGATAGTTGTAGCTTATTGGGCATTTCTTAAAAATAGTCCCGTCTGGCCACTTGATGTTGCTGCAACCTTCTTGTCAATCGAAATCTTTACCACTGTAAAATATTTTTATTTTAACTATACCGAAAACCCACACAGTGCAATTTTAAACACCACTGCTTTTGATACATAAATACCATCAGTCTTGTTGTTACTGTGGTCAATCAGGAGGTACTTGCGCTACACTAGATGTATCTCACTCTTATCACTGTAGACCTTCAACTAAACTGGCACTTATTATTGTCTATTTGATTGAAATTCTCTGTTGGATAGTCCTTTTTTTCTGCTTTGCTGTGTACGGTGCTCAAATGTTTTGACAGCTAGTAAGAGCAGTTTTCTGTCCACTTTTTTCCTCCACAAAATCAGTCCAGATATAATAATTTATATACAAAAAAGTCACTGAACATTTTTTTAAGAGGTACCAATTGGATAGCTGATACAAGTTGTGACATTGTATTTTTTGTGCCTCTCTTCGTAAATTGCATTCAATAACAAATAACAATGTGTAACAACATATTAAAAAATGTAAAATTGGCATTGACATAGCGAGGAACTCAAGAATACCTGCTGAAGGCTCAAAACTAAATCAGTGATCTTCCTCCTTCGATGGGAATGGAAGTCAGATAAGCTCTATCATAACAAAGACCTTTGAATTGAATTGGCCATCTTAGAACATAAAGGTTAATGTATTTATAAATAAAAACTGTACAAACTGGAATGTGGGGAAGGAAAAAATCTCAGGAATAAATGACGCAAATGAATACATACAAACTTAATGTGGAATATCACACACTCTGGAAGCTTGCAATAATGCAGACTAAAACAACAAGATGCTAAAGTAACATTTAGGCAAAGCAGCCAAGCTTTGAAAACATAACATGAAGCAAATCAGTTGGCACTGAGCAAAGATATTGTATGGCAATAACTGGAATTTTGTATACATAATATAATTTCAAACATAAATTTAAATACAAAAATTCCTCAAAGTGACAAATAGACATCTCTCCCTGAAGAACAAATAAATCATGACATCAAAATTGCCAGCACTAAAGAATTATTTTTAGCTACATAAAGTTCAAGATCTATGCAGCAGAGTCTGTCTGAAATTTAGTCTCATAAAATTTTTGAAGGACCATTTTAAAAAACAAAATAATACCTACTTTGTACATTTGTTCTTTCTTTTCCATAACTAAATTATTCAGAACTAATTTGTAAAAGTCCATAATTGAAAAGAATTATAGTACTAATGATTTTACATATGGTATTGCAAACTCACTGTATGCTGTACCAGGTAGTTTTACTTCCTTTAATCAAATCTTTTATTAACTGCAGTTCATGAGCAGGTGGTTGGCGAGTACTCCGGTGTGGTTTTTTGCTCTTTATTTCCTGCACACACCTGTCCAGAGCTCTCCTCTTATATTGTGTTTGTTATTCTCTTGTAACACCTAATCTTCAGCAGTTATATGACTTTATTGTGTTGCAGGTGCTGTAAAACTCTTACTAAAACTAAGCAGTTCATGAGCTTACCACAGGCAGCTAAGTGTTGTCACAAAAGGGCTTATCCCTGTGGCATTTGCAGAGCCAGCAACATCACATCAGCTCAATTTGGTGCAGAATGGTGCACGTCGCTTTTGGTTGCAAAAGCAAAGACGGGTTTAATGCACGGACAATTTTCGAGAAAGTTTATATCAGCCAAAAAATACAAACAAAACTTTTCCATAAAATTTTCAAGCAACATCTTTCAATTTCAACTTCAACCACCTGCTAACAACTGATCTGGCTCAAGTAGAGTAGTACTCTTGGCTCAGACTCAGAGCCACTACAAAGACAATAACATGGCAAGCATTAAGCCTACTTCAAAACAATTCACAAACAAGCCAACATTAAATGAAAGCAACATTATAATATTGACTAGAATGGACACATCAATGTCGTCTTCATGGGTAATCTTGCATCTGTTCCAACAACCAATATATTTTGTAATAATTTTCATACTCTTTGTCTTTCTACAGATCTGTAATAATATAATATATATCATACACAATTGAAAGCAACAGAGACTTCATGTTTTTCAACTTCAGTCACATGGTTTGCCAACTGTCTTTAGTGAATGGAATATACCCAGTGCCACAGTGTATATAACAGGCATGGGAAAGCTACAGCCCTCATGCAGTTTTTAGTATGAGTCAAACCAGTTTTCATACAAGGGCAAGAAAGAAAAATACTGTATTGGGAATTTTCTTTTCTTTCAGTTTCCGGATGTTTTCTGATTAACCATGTTCAGTTAAAGTGGACTGCACAGCATATATATAGTATATATCATCAGTCACAGCCAGTGTTATTCCACAATAATTGCCCATATCAATTTCTGAGGGTTCCTGGATAAAACCATCAACCTTAAAGAGGGAAAAACTTTCATCTTATCCCAAAGCCAAACAGTATTTTTGTGTAATGATTGATTCCTCCCCCCCCCCCACACACACACACACACACATTTTCACTTTTGGGAAGGAAAGAAGGATGTCTCATCATAAGTGCTGACAAATAAAATAGTGCTCGAATTCTACATCAAAAATGACATCTGAAAGATACAAACAAATGTGTGCATAAATAACAAATACATGTATTCCCATGTCATTTGCAAATCTTGGAGCTTACACTTACATACATAACTATAGAAACTGCTACATACATTTTTGTAGTCAATGTTAAAAAATGAGAGAAAAATAAAGAAATGAGTATGTTGTCCCACACACAGACAATGTTTCACTTTCTTTTTTAAAACCAGACTCTCTTAGATAACAAAAGCATACAATCGGAAAAAAAGATATTTTTGAAAAGAAACAGAAAAAAACTAAAGACGAAAAGAGAACAAAACATCACTAATCTATAACGCTAACACATAAGCTGTACAAAGTTGCAATAGAATAAACAATGGCAGTGCATATATTTATGTAATAAATACATATTTTAAAGTATTGAACATACTGAGTGTAGAGTATGTGCACTAAATTTGAAGGTCTAAATTAACAAGCAAACAATACATGTACACGCACTGACATACTGTTCCACACTCAACTACCAACAAGCACTACCTACCTAGAAGAAGCCAACATAACTGTGCTCCACTTGGAAGAAATAATACCCCCTTGCCATTTTTCCCATTAAATAAAATTAATCTTAAATTAATATTAAAGCAGTAAAATATAACCTGTCGGATCAGCTGAGGATGCCAGTGACATTGTATGAAGATGAAAACTATAAACTAGAACCGCACCATTGAATGAACATGATACAGTGGAATCCTGTTATAACGAGAGGGAGGGGACCGATGCGAAATGTCCGTTGTAGCAGGATTCTCGTTACAAGGGATCCAGTAATAAATTCAAAGGAAATAGTAAAGTAGGCCTAATCTATGATTTGGCATTCTGTTTATTCCTTTTTGTATTTCCCCCGATGATGATTTGTTCAACATGATCTCAAGGTCTTACTTTATTAAAAATCGAGTCAGGTTTCTTTCTCTAGCACTAGTAATGTTGACAAATCGGCCTTGGCGATCAGAAAGAAGGGGCTCTGGCTCTAGGCTAACTCGCCCGCAGTGTTGTCCCCCACCCCACGACACCCTGTGGCGCGTTGCGTCTGCTCGCGCACGTCATACATTCACTACATCCATCTATCACAGCATTGTGACCTCTCCATCCTGCACCAGAAAAGTGAGAGGCACAGCATGTCTAGATAATCTAGACTGGGCTGGCCTATCACGTGATGCGTTCTGCTTGTGTTTGCACATGCCACACCCTCCCCACTCATTCGCTCCGGCCTTCATTATTGGTTCGCGTACGCTCTCCCATTCCTTGTTTCGCTGGATCACCGACAACTTTCTCAACTGGCAAGGTTTTATAATAATGTTTAATTGGTCTGTGCGCTGTGCACAGCAGCAGCAATATTCCGTTATAAACGACTCGCGTGACGGTCTGATTGCGCAATAGCAGTATTTTATTTACAAAGATAAAGAAGGAAAAAATGGGGCTTTAGAACAGTGTCTTTATAACAGACTTCTCGTTGTTTCAGGACTCGTTATAAGTGGACTCCACTGTAGTAATGTGAAAAAGAAGAAGAAATTGTTGTGTCAGCGAGCTGTTTCAACGTACTACTTAACCCAGAGAGCAAAATCTTTTAGGAGAAGAAAACGACTGCATCGTAGTTTTAATATATCTTTTCTTGCGTTTTACACCGTTTTAAATTTAAGTTTAGACAACATATTTCTTGAGCACATGAAAACAATATCAGAGATTAAGAAACTGCAATATATAAAACATTTTCAAAGTTTTGGGCTTGATACATCTGATCAGCTGACCGACGAAAGGTATCTTTTCCGAGTTATTAGCAACAAAAATAGTTAACTATGATACAAGTGAAAATTGAGCTTTTTTAAATACTGTACTCAAAATGTGGTAAACTCATCTCCACCAGAACTGATCTTATTGGCCACAGCAATAGCCACAATTCTCCCTAATCCTTATTTTTTTCTATTTTTTATCATCAACATGAGCATACATCATAGTCAGACATTGAGGAACAAACTGTTATTATATTCTGTGGGGGTACTCCACTGCACAAAGGGGAACAGGCTTTACCACCAAGTAAAGAGAACTAGGCTATAGTGAACATCTCATATTCACAGTCATTGGCACATTGAAGAAAGCCCCCTGATATTGAAACATTTTTCAGAAATTAAAGTAACCTTCAACTTTTTGAAAATGCACAGAGTCAAAATTACCTATAAATTCAAATGTTAAAAGTTATGTGACCCTGGACAAGACACAGAAAGAGATTTCTACAAAGCAGCAGCATCAAAAGGAAAAAAGATATAAAAAATCAGCACAACTTGCTGACAGTCACTGTATATCTAATGCAAAAGGAGCAAAAAGCATTTTTGACACACTCCAAAAACATGTTTAGACAAGGGAAATTGCTTCATCTTTTTAACTCTGGAACCACATTTTTACACTGACACTTTTGGGAAATAAATAGGTGGCACTCTTACATTTCAGATTAATTTTCATACAGGTTTGAAACACAATGACAAACCTTCAAACTAGAATGAGCTTGATGTCAACCCATGCATAAACATATATATCATATGGCAATTCATGATAACAAAACATTCACACCACAAAACTTTTTCTTCTCTTCTGCACTACAATGAGAAAATGTTATCACACGTGAGTTGAATTGTTAGATACAAATGTTTGGAGAACAATTAATGAATAAAAGAACATATCATTGCACTCTGGACTTGCCTCGGCTGATGCGTATCGTTTGTGAATATATAAGAAAAACACACACAAAGGCGACAGAAACAAATGTTGAAAAACTTCCTATCACTTCAAGATGAGTGAGAATATTGACCTGCTTTATGGTACAGTTACTATAATTTTCTGTCATTCATCAATGAAGAATAATTACATAGTTACACTCAATTCCTGCTTTTCAAAGTGCATAACTGAACGTTGTTAAAATAATTTTTTCCTTGACAGCAAGACTCGAAGACAAAGTCTTCCTTGCGTCTGTAACTGTAAGTCAAACACCTAAGAAATGCTGTTCTGGTGAGCTGCATACAAAAGGATCATGTGGTACCTGCGATTAGAGGCGATGGAACAGTCTCAGACTGACTAGTTGTACTCGATTATTTACTCGCATCAAAGATCATACACTACAAGATGGTTCACTTGTCGCTGTGAGATACCAAAAAAGAAAATGGTGATAACAATATTACAGCAGTTTGATAACTATTTTTAGTGAATTGTATACAATGAGTACGAGCTGGGATTGTTAAAAAAGAATGTATATAGGCCTATTTGAGAAATGAAAAAAATGTTCTAATCATCACAAGTGGCAATGTCTTCAAAAATATGCTTCCATTTTTTTTAGGATACTTTGTTAATCAACCTAGTGATCCATCTTGTAGTGTACAATTATTGCTTGCGTACAAAATCAGCCTCATTGTGGGTGAAAATGAAATATTCCAACAAATGTACAGCTCTCCCCACAAGCACGTCATGAGACAAGGTTTTCCATTTCGATGGTCAACTGCAGCTTTGTTTCGTTTTCTAGTTGTTTCACTGAGCCAGTGTTTACCGACTCCCACCAGCTTTACAAGGCAGATGTTGTCCAGTGCTAAAAAGAAAGTAAAGCCAGTCTTTCTTAGTCTTTAATATAAACATCCAAGTGATTGCATTCCTTCCAGCTGTACTTCACCTGCTACCAACACAAACAAGTGCCACTCCTTTAAAAATGTATAAAACCTTCAGATCTCATCATAAGAGAATAACATATTTCTTGCACTTTCTTCTTACAATTGATGAACTACAGTGGAGCCTACTGTAACAGCCATCTGTCCAAGACAATAACCTGTACAAACAACCACTTTTCACTTCTTCCGTTGTGATTTTCTTATATTACATTGACACTGTCCGCGACATCCACCAGTCTAAGACAACCACTTCTCTCACTGACTTTGCATGGCCATCTTGGACAATTTCCAAGGCATTTATGAAAACGAACTGGAACAATTAACAAATCAAGTTTCTATGAAGCCAGGAAACCTAAAGGAGCTGACTCAATCTGTGTCCCTGAGGCTGGTTAGTCCTGCCTTGAGCCTTTGACCTGGTTCCTTCTGTCTCTCTACACTGTGGTCTCTGGGACGGGGCTAGCGCTACGTAGGTACGGACTCCCAGATCGACTCCGCGCCATCTCGCCCCGAGCACCCATCACAATCAGCGAGTCTGTGGAAGAGACCAGGGTAAAAATACATTTCAAAATTGCAAGTTTTCCAATTACTGGTATCACACTCAAATAAATTGTACCATCCTTAGCTATAGAATGTTTCATCTGTATTCGAATGAGTCGAGGACCTTGATTTCTCAAAAGATTCTTTATAGATCTTTTCCTTCATAGTATAGAATATGTCTACATTCATTGGCTGGTTCCCAACTCATTTTGATGTATCTAATTATCATAACATGAAGAGCATAATTCTTCAAGCTAAGCTTTGCTACAAAAGCAAATACTACCATTGCAAAAGAGACAGTGGTTCAAGACTTACCAAAAAAAAACAATTCATGACGTCAACAAAAGAACAAAGAAGAGAATTGATATCCATATTAAATACAAATACAAGTAAATAAATAACAAAACATAACCTTACTGGGAATAAATGATGGGGGAAGAGAGGGGGGAGGGGGGCACTAAAATAAAGACTTACTTATTTTGAGGCTAAAGTAAAATGTAAGGTCTGTATTTAGTAAAGGTTTTTTAGTAAATCTAAAACCAGTTTGGTTAAAAACAACCCAGCTTATTAGTATGCAGGAGGCGCCGAGATTAAAACAAAGAAACAAAACAAAGTTAAAAACGTTTTCATATACATGACACTACAGTGTACTACATAGTTCATGCAAGTAGTTAAGTAGCTGCTACATCTGGGGGGTGGGGGGGGGGATGAAAACTGAAATTCAAAACAAAGAGAAGAAGAAAGGCAGAAAGGATGGTTGGGGTGGGTGGGGGGGGGGCAATTAGGAAAGATGCCAGTGGTAAAGCGATGTAAGGGTGCTGATGACAATGTGCATTGATCCATGCTTGTCTTCCATCAGCAGGGGAAAGTACAGCTACTGTTATTGAGTTTTGACAATGTTTCAAGGAGGTGGACAGTGCTTGTGGGTAACATTTAGAGGCAAAGATATTTTTCTTTTATTGATGGTGAGATCGCTATGGCACTTTTATGTTTGAATTAGATGAATTACGAATACAAGTAATACAAGTCTGAGTGTGCTATTGTTTGACTGTCTCTGTGCTTTTGCAAATTATCTTGCAGCTATAAGTGTAAACTATTGGGATGTATTGTGTTTTAGGATTTTGCCAAAGTAAACTGATTGAATGCGATGGCCTGATGAGTATACAGGTATTTATTATTGAAATAGAGTTGCTTTGGAAAAAGCAAAATAAAATGCAAAAAAGAAATGTAAGTTAGCATTATGATAAAAGAATGATAAAGTAAGGCTTGGACTAGAAGCTACAAGATCAACATAAGTGCAAGTCTGTGATGGGTAATGGTATACATACATGTGTGTTTTAGTGTGTGTGTGTGTGTGTGTGTGTGTGTGTGTGTGTGTGTGTGTGTGTGTGTGTGTGTGTGTGTGTGTGTGTGTGTGTGTGTGTGTGTGTGTGTGTGTGTGTGTGTGTGTGTGTGTGCTTGTGTGCACGCCCGGGCACATGCATGCATGCGACTGTGTGCTTACATGCCTGCATGCATGTATGAGTGTGTGTATATTATATAGTTGGGTGCATTTCAAACTTGGATGCACAGATGTTAAATGTTCGTGGTGTATAAATATGAGAGCAAGTTCTTGTGAGCGTTTATTTTGTAAGTGCATGTATGTGTGTGTGTGTGTGTGTGTGTGTGTGTGAGTGTGTGTGTGTTTGAGAGAGAGAAAGAAAGAGAGAAAAAGAAAGGGAGAGAGAAAGAGAGAGAGAAAGAGAGAGAGAGAGAGAGAGAGTGAGAGAGAGAGAGAGAGAGAGAAAGAGAGAGAGAGAAAGAGAGAGCACCCACCAGTATTTTTGTGGTGTCTATTAAGTCAACAAAACACTATGCATACAACCTTGCTTCTCTGCCCATTTCATCTACATGTATATTTGACCACAAGCTATCCAGACGACACCAGGACAATCTTTGGCAATACTTCTGCGCAAAGATAGTAATAAACAACAGGACACCCATACAACCAAGACTATACACCTGTGTCCTGACTACAGGACTCATCTAAAGGCTATAATTTAATGACAATAGTTTTTATCTGTCAATGTAAGACAATGACCTATGCATCAGCAGAGGAGAACATTTCATAAAGATAACTTTAAGAAATATGGATTAAGATGATTTGCAGCTCTGGTACTGGCAAAGAAGAGTTTACTACATTTTCAAAATTTTGAGCATTTAATAGCTATACTAAATTACTACAAACCAGCAGTATAGTTGGGGCAACAAGGGGCTTTTGAGTACATTTCAATACACGACAGCAAATAATATCAGTTATGATATAACACACAACAGGTCTTTTCCCAATGTTACCATTTGGCATACACACATACCACAGTTATCAACATCACAAGACCACTTGAAAAGAAGATAAACAACAGAGATGTCAAGTACAGACACTACTAAGAGCATTCTGATCCAACTGTTAAAAAATTTGCACTTGCAATCAAAAGGTTGTTAGTTGTTAACAGATTTTTAAAATTTAATTCTTTACTCAATTTAAAGAACGTTGAGCAGTGGTATAGACTGAACAGACAACTCTGTCATGGCGTAGTCCAGCCCAGTTTAGACAAGAGGAGGGCTGGGCAGGGGTGAGCAATCCAGCCCCATAAAAAAAATTACAAATTATTGTTACAGAGACGTTACAACGTTATTCTAAAGCAATCCCCAACCTAGAGGAGGAGCCTGGAAACATCTGGAGAGACTGACCCATGCTTTCGATGAGTAGTGAGAGCTTGCAGGAAGTTAATGCCCCTCAAGGATGCAAAGGCAAAAAGTAAGTAATGTAATAAAACTTAGCATGCATTCTAAGGGCATGCTCTTGAAAACCCTCTAGTTTGCCTTAAAGCTAGAGTCCTATCCAGTCAATATGTAGACGTATGGGAAGGCTGCATGTATTGGATAGATAAGGTCGCGAAAAAAATGATAATAATGGATGTGGACTGCTTCAACTCTGCCAGTCAGGGCCAACCCAGTGATGAGAGGAATACAGGATCCTAGCTCAAAGACTAAGATACCATATTCGATAAACTAGACATCCAAAAAAATAGACACAAACTCATGTCTTTTGAGTGCAACTGTAGAGAGTCAAAACCTTACTACACTAGCAGTAGGTTAGCAAGGAGGAAAGCATGTTAAGTCAACATTTGTCTCTTCACAAAATATTGATTAGTCTACATTAACTAAGGATTATAATCAGTCAAATCAAACGAATGTCTGACAATTCTAAACATTAAATTCGGTAAGAGCTGGCAAGTGTCTTCAGGAAACTAAGATCCAGGCTGTTAGTTCTCATCTGTGCATGGCATGCATTCTAAAAGTGTGTAAGTTGTAAGACTAAAGTTGTGGCATGCTTTGAAAATACTCACACTGTGTGTCTAAGTCTGTTAGATTTCAACACCTAAAACATCATAGCCGGGAAAAATAAAAACAAACATTTAAAGGAAACAAAACTGAAAATTAAAAACAAAATGATAACCAACAACACTAAAAAGCATTTTATAACACTAAATTCTGAGTCAGAAAAACAAAATCCACACAGAATAATTCAGGCAAAATTTTAGTCTCTTAAAGATAGAAAAAGTCAGTGCTCGTAATAATAGGGTTGACAAGCACTGCTCTTCATCAAAATATCAATGAGTGGGGAAAAACCCAACTGAGACTAAAAAGACCTCCCACAATAGCACAAAAGTATCCTCTACCCCTCCAGAAACAATTTTTTTTTTTATTACCAAAAGCATAATCTCAGTATGGCTCGATTTCAAAATAAAAAGGTTTCGAGTGCTCAAATTATCTCAATGAGTGTGTTCAAATCCAGCTCAATTTAAAGACTCCTATGGTTCCAATGGCTAGACAAACTTTGTTCATTATGCTCAGTATATATTCGTATATTGTGAAAATTCTGGGGATGTTTTGGTCGGCAATAAAAGAAAATCAAGGAAAGCTTTTATTTGCTTTTGTCTCTTTTTTTTGTTGTGTATTTAAATTAAAGCACATTGACACAATTACTATCATTTAGTGCAGGAAAAAGCAAGTAAGACAGATAGGAAAATGTGTTTGCACTTGTATTGGGGTGCATCAGAATTGATGGAATCGACATATTATGAGCAACATTTTTATTAATATACAGTATAGTTTCAAACAGATTTTCATAAGTACACAGTAGTTTTAAACAGATTGGAAAACATTGAAGAGATACAAGTCTCCTTTCCCTTAATATGCAACACATGTTCATTCCACAATTTATGTTGATCCACCCCAATACATGAACAAACGCACTTTCAAGTTCCTCTGATTTCATAAATTTTGCCAAGGCTGACTGTTTAAGGTTAATTTTGAGTGCTTGTATCTCGAGCAAATCTTTTGAAGATGTAGCATTAAAGGGTCAGTTGAAGCTGAATTATTTAGCTGTAAATTGGTATGTTGTAAGAGTGGGTAGTGCAAGGCTTAAACATGATAAATGGGTGAATACATTTTCAAGTTTCTTTTAAACGCCACTGTATGATATATAAGCAGAAAGCACATCAATCACATCTCAAACAGGGAAATTGTCACACCAATAATAATAATAACAGGAATATTGAAAAAAAATCGGCATTCACCAAGAAAAACAAAGTGTTTATGAAGCAGAAATAACTTTTTTGGAACACCGAAAAATCAACACAGTATAACAATAAGAAAAAATAGGATTTAGGGGAGCAAGTTTTAGCAGAGCTACTGCATCTGAAACTAATGGTACATAAAATTGAGAGACCCAAGCTTACAGTGGTTCTTCGCACAAATCTGAATTATAACTTCAATTTATTTTTAAACTCCAGATCCATATTCGCTACTTCAAACTGTGAAATCGTGCTATGTTATCACATTTCATATCTCAAGGCTGTAGACTTGAATACTCCTTGAAGTTTTGATTTAGTAAAATCTTGTGAGTAATAAGTTTAATAGCAGGACAATTCAGTGCTCTATCCTTCTGTAAAAAGAAACCCACAAACCAATCTGGAACCCTCAAATGTGGCCAAACAAAGTGACAAAAAAGAACATTCCCAGTGTTCACAATTTCACCCAGTGAAAGAACCAAAATAATAAATGCAATAAGACCTACCATGCCAAGGAAACACTCAACAAAACTTCAACTAAAAAGAATGACATTTATGGAAAAGGTTTTGAGAACAGAAATAAACCCATGGGGTTTGTTGTTGTTGTTTTTGTCAAGAATTTTGTCTATCAGCATGGACAACAAAATTAAATGACCAAAATATCAAAGCAAAACTAATAACGACAATATAAGAAAAGTTTGTTCCATTGATTAAAGCAACAAATTTTAAGCAGACTAAAGTCAAACCTGGAATAACAATCCCCTATCCAAGACTCCCACCTGTACCAACAACAACTTCCCTGCCTTATGTTTCTTTTATTATTAATTATATCATTATAATGAAAACTGCCCAAGACATGCAGCTGCCAAAAACATCTATTTTTCTCCACGACAATAGGTGGCCATCTTGAAAAATTTTTCTGAACTCTATAGCCTTGGCATGGCAGAAACGGTGACTAAAAACGTTCACCTCAGCCTTATAATAAAATGATTAGGTCTCATACTGCACCCCGCCTCACCTGAGCTAGAATAAAGGGAATTGACCCTAGAGACGGGCTCCAGGTAAGTAGAGGGTACCCATCCCTCCTGATCAGTGCGTAGGTGCCGTGCGTACCACCAACCGTTCGTGCCCACTCTCATGATCTCCACCTCGTCTCCCTCCGCCAGGCCCAGCTCTGTGGGGTCCACAACATAGTAGTCTCCCAGTGAGACAAAGTGTTCCTTGTATGATGGCTGGAACATGGAAATAAAAGAGATGCAAAATTAATAGACAACAGATAGCATTTGTATAGCGTAAATTCCCGCTCAACAGCAAGCTTTAAGTGTTTTACAATCTATATTATTACCCCAGCAGGCCAGACAGCATTCTGAAACGATCTCAACTTCCTGGGAAGCATATGGTGCAAGCTGCCATTTTACAGGTGCTAATTAAAACACTAATAAGAGACAGTGTTTGTACAGCATCATGAATGCATAAAGTGACACTGATAAGATATATGTAAATACGTACCGTTAAACCTGCTTGAACAGCCATCTTAACAGACATTTACATGTGTAATCAGCCACTTTCCATCCACCCCCTTGCACTTTTTTTCCCATTATAATGACACAGTCAGACAGACCACCAGTCTAAGACAGCCATTTTTCTCCTCAACAATGACTGGCCGTCCTAAACAATTTTGACTGCACGCACACACTCACACATATTATGAGTGTGTGTTGTGTGTGTATTTTGATTGACATCTCTAACATTTTTCTTCTCTTTTTTGTAGATAAAGCTTATCTCAGCCTAAATTAAATAATATCTATTGGTCCCTGAAGTGAAAAATTTATTGACAACGGCACAACATTCATAAACAATACAATTTATCAATGAGGAGTAACACACAATATCACACCAATGCAAATGATCAAAATGACACGGCTGGTCACAACTGTGTAACATCCTTCTCATAAAATAGGGTTGTCTTGTCTTGTTCAAGGACACACTCCAGTGACCATCCACATTTGTGATTATTGTAAGCCTCGGCTCACTAACTGGCAAATGGAGCTGACAGAGAGCATTTATTTCTTACATGTAATGTTTGACAAATTATGACTCTCTCTCTCTCTCTCTCTCTCTCTCTCTCTCTCTCTCTCTCTCTCTCTCTCTCTCTCTCTCTCTCTCTCTCTCTCTCTCTACCCACCCTCCTCGTCTTCCTCTCTCTTTCCCCCTCACTCTCTCACCTCAATTTTTGGTATGTACTGCTCAGCACCCTCGTCATCTGTGTTGGAAAACTCGCCAGATGACCAGCCACCCTCAAAGTCCTCCTCATATTCCTCCTCGTCCTCGTCCTGGTGGGAGCCGTACGGAGGCGAGGTCGGGGTCACTAAGGGAGAGGACATCTCCAGACCCACAGGAACCGTCGAGTGTTTGTCTGAGTCCACAGAACGCCAGTTGTCCAGGCTGGAGAGACAGATACAATGAAGAGAAAGATGGAGAATGAGAAAGAGAGAGAGAGAAAGAGCGAGAGAGCGAGGGGGGGGAGGGAGGAAGGAGGGCGAGAGAGA